AGATCCAAGTAAGCAAGGAGGCAGACAGTGGGATGCTATTATAGCAGCCAGAAAAAGCTCCACGAGAACGAAACCGTCAGTGGGAGCTTACGGTAGGAAATTGGAATATATCCTCACACAGAGGGAAAGAGCAACAGTTAGTTGATGATGCCATAAGGTGCTAACTCGACGTAGTTGTACTCTTGTCGAAGAAACGCCAAGGCTCTTGAATCCCGAAAATTTTTGCTGGTAGAAGCTCTTCCATTCAGGTGCCGACATAATGACGTACGCGGAGGCTGCCGTTGGTGTTCTACTAGAACCCAACCTGGCTGATAGAATCATTCAATGGAAGCCTCTCAGCGGAAGAGTAGAATTCTTCTGACTGAAGCTACAGCAGGCTAAAGTGCTGACCTAATAACAAGCCTGTGCGCTAAATTTCGAGGTAGAATATGACTCTTTCCTTGCGGAAGAAGAGAGTGCTCCATACGAAGTATCAAATACGAAGTAAATCATCTCAAGGGGCGATTTGAATGTGCATGTCGGAGCAGACGCTGAAACGCGAAAAGACGTGATTTGAAAGAACGGCCCTAACGACTTCAACAATAACTACATGAAGTTGTTAGGTTTTGTGCAAACAACGGACTGTCTCTTATGAACATCTTCTTCGAGCATCGAAGCGTGCATCAGTATACCTGGTACAGGGAAGCTGTGCAAAGAAGTCGATGATCGATTTCATAATCGCATCACCTGACTTAAGACGCTCTGTAATGGATATTCGCGCTAAGAGAGACGCAGAGCTATCAACCGATCAACACCTTGTCCCTGGCACGCTGAGCTGTAAGAAACGGAGTATCATACGAGGATCTGGTGAAAGAAGCAACCAGAGAATCAAATGGGAAACATTATCTTTGGTGACACCAGAGTGGAATTTGCACATAACATCGCAGCGACGGTTTTGACAGACCCCCGATGATGACCACTCGATGCGGAAACAGTGGCAGCTCTTTAGCAGCGGTATACTCGGAACTGCCGCCGATTGCTGCGGATTTAAAGTGGCCTGCCGTCTGGACGTCAGAAAAGATCTTCCTGGTGCATATGAGAGGTACGAGTGGCATTTAAAGAGAAGAAACGCTACGTTCAAGAAATGGCTCGGAAACAAAGAGCCTAATACTGGCGTGCGATATGTCGAAGCACACAAGGCGTCAACGAAAGCAGCTGCGAAAGCGAAAGGGAGAATTTCGGTGAAGTGATGGGGTCGAATTCTGGCAGATTATCAATCGGTTCCGAGGTGAAAATAAGGTCAGTGCAAGAGCTTGAAAGACAGAACTGGACACCCTCTTACAAATGATGATGACATTCTTTGGCGACCGAGAGAGTACTTAACATTAATTTGCCCTGAACCAGATTGTTGAAAAATCGTGGGAGTACGCCCATCGGTGCACCTGTGTTTTGTGGACCTAGAAAAAGCGTATGACCGGATCCCACGCAACAGTCTGTGGACATGCCTTCGCGCATACGGCCCTAGAGAAAGCGTATGACCGGATCCCACGCAACAGTCTGTGGACATGCCCTCGTACGTACGGGATTGATAGGAAGTTGCTAAGGGCCATCCAGTCATTGTATTCTGATAGCAGGTGCTGTGTCAGAGTTAATGGCGTTAAGTCGAAACCACTCAATGTTCGCACTGGTCTCCGCCAAGGCAGCGTCCTGTCCCCTC